AGGCCGGAACGGGGCTTACTACCGGAGGAAATCTGGACGCTCGATTGGCCCTGGCCATCTCCTGTCCTGTGCAAACTGACTGACTGACTGACGTGTATTACTTGTGATCGCGCCCGTTGTTTAAATCGAGTCCAATTGTTTTAAGGGTGAGACGGCAACGGGTTGTCCGCCATTGTTTCCGTTATCGCCCCGATGATTGAGAGACGATCTATCTTAAGGCTCACCGACACTGCCAGTAAGTTTGAAGGTTTGGTCCATACACTCAAAATGATTCTTTTATTAACCTCGCGGATTGCGTTAAGTTATTTTGCATATTTCCGTTTCATCATTACAGGTCTGGCAGAACTGGCCCACCGTGAATATCAAGCCGGTGACTATGAGAGGGCTGAACAACATTGCATGCAGTTGTGGCATCAAGACCCGGAAAATACATCTACCCTTCTGCTGTTGAGTTCTATCCACTTCCAATGCCGCCGAATGGAGCGCTCAGCCTACTTCAGTCAACTGGCAATAAAACAAAATCCTTTGATGGCCGAAGCCTACTCTAACTTGGGCAACGTGTTCAAGGAACGTGGGCAGCTAAAAGATGCCATTGATAACTACAGACATGCTCTTGGAATTAAGCCGGATTTCATCGATGGTTACATAAATCTTGCCGCGGCGCTTGTTGCCGCCGGAGACATGGAGTCAGCTGTGAGTGCATACGCCACAGCGCTGCAGTACAATCCAGTGAGTTCTGGGCTGGGTTTTCATTCGTGTTAATTTAAACCTGTTTCGCATGACTACATCGATAACGTTTAGAGCTGTCCATTAGGGACTAGACAGCAAGGCGAGCAGCTTCGTCCTTCTCCATGTGATAGTCGAGGTGTTTACTCCGGATATGCTGAATTGGTGCGGTTTTCGGAGCCTCCCAAAGACTGGCTGGTTAAGTGACTGAAAATTGACTTGAATGAGTTCGCACAGGGAACTGTGCTATTGTACTTCGTTGATCCAGATAACACGAGTTGCGAAAATTATAACTCGGATGGATGTTACTCTTGTTAGCGGTCGAAAAATCTCACGAAAACTTACTGGATAATCCAGAAAGTAGGTCTTTCGATTTGAGACCGTCGCACGTCTGACTACTCTTGTAAAA